GACAGGAAAGGGAAATAAAGAAAAATGAGAGAATGAAGGAAATGGAACATACAACACAAGGAGAAGCTGTTAGTTCTTCTACATGGGCGACTTTCCATTGCCTAGAAACTTACAGAACTCAGAAAGACTTGATTCTCTCCACTTATACCACAGCGATCCCCCCCCATGTTTTAAAATTAATGTTAACTATCTCCACTCTTGAAATCAGTCCAGTTAGTCAGCTGAAGCTGTAAAACACTGCACTGTGCATAGACACAAAAGAACACTACAGAGTCCCAGCCCCCAAGTAGCTGAGAAAAGACATAAGAACATTTATGAAATAAACCTATCAAGGGCAACCTGATAATTGTCATTCTACCATCAGGAATTATTTAGGTGAAAGCAAATAGAAGCCAAGTGAAACGATTCAGAACGTACCTGAGGACGGTGCTAGCTTGCCGGCCACTTCAGCACTGAGGGTGGACACTTTGGATTGTGTCGCTGTCATAGACGCAGGTGTGTCAAGTTTGATATCTCTTCTAAGCTGTTCACCAAAAAGATATTTTTCCTCCATAAGTAAACCGACCACATTAAAACAACCAAACCACTTGAGTCCAGGATGACTGAATATTACCGCTATATGCTACCCCCTGCCCCATATACAAAAATAAGTGTAGAACAAACCATTTTCTCTGGCCAGAAACCTACCTTCACTTCTTTGAGTTCAGTTTCTTTTTGTGTGTACTTTTCTGTCCACAATGACCCAAGAACTTCATAAATCCACTGGCTTGTAGCATATGCCTTTTTCCCAGTAACCTAGTTAGAACACATTGGGGTTAAGAGTCAATTTTTTCTGGGGGGGGGGGGGGGAGAATGCAATAATAGCTTTTTTATATTAATACTTATGTGATGGTTCCAAGAGTTGCCATTTTCTTCCATGAGAATGCCAAAGTCTGAACTAACAAGACAGAAATCTCGCCTTTATTGAACATAAAGTTTAATTTTCTGAACCATTTACATCACATGAAATAGAATTTGTAAAGAATATTTCTAGTAGTTTGTGTACATAACAAGTTCACTGGATTGGAGGGCTAGTTTCAGTTAAGAAAATATCTTAAGAAAGAAGGTTCATTGTGCTGCTAAGCATCTACAAAAGAAAAGTCAACCCAAATTTGGGTTTTTTTCCTCTGAAGGCCTTTTTTACCTCTACACAGAGAAAGCATCAATGAGTGTCCCTGGAGAAAACTCAGTTTGTAGAACAAGGTCTAAGAATTAAGGCCTGCCATTCATTAAAGTGGAGCCCTCAGGCTATAAATGAATCCCCTTGTCTAAATGAAGTTGCCCTTGCCTTCCTTTCCCTTATTTCTCTCTCTGAGATTTTTTTTTCTCCTGTTCCTTTTTTCTCACCCTGAACTGGTTCTTTTCTGTTCAAAGTCCTTCTTAAAGTCATTCACCAAACATTTAGCTGCTTTTGGATGGGGGCCTGGAGTTCTAGATATGTTAGTACCAACTATGCCACATTTGTGACATTTGCAAGGACAAACCACTTACTTCTCTTCATCCAAACTTCTGTCCATGTATATTAGTTACCAAAACTACCATGGGAAGATCCAAAAACCAAACCGGAACCGGAACTCGAACCCAGCCAGTCATAATGTCACAGTGGTAAATGGTTAGTTTCCCTTGGTACTTCCTGGAGGAGTTTCTGGATACACTGTCCTTTGATAGAGAAGGACAAACTAGCTGAGCTACTTACTGAGGGCAATAAAACGGCGAAATCCAGCTAATTCCTAAGCAGCCTCTTGTTTTCCTTTTGCCCCATATCTAGCTATAGTGATACTCTCCCTTCCTGCTTAGATCTGCTGCTGTGATTTGGTCATATTGCCAAGTAGCAGAATCTAGCCTTGATATTCTTAAAAACGTGTTGATGCAAAACAGGCTGCCTTAGCTAGACCAATAAATTTAAAAAATAGCATAATAGGAAGCACAAGTAGAGAATGCACTTTGAGAAAGTCTATTATTTAAAACAGGAAGAAAATGTTCAGTAGGTAAGAAAAAAAGAAAAAGACTCAAGATCTCTAACCTCTCTGTCCAAGAAAGCTGTAAACTCTCTCGAGAGCATGTGTGCACAAAGCAAATCCTACAATGGCAAGGGATGAAATGAGAAGAAACCATTCAGCTGTACAATTGAGCTGACAAGAAAAACTGCAAAAGGGCTGAAATGAGATTTTCATGGAAAGGATTTCCTAGTTCCAGATGGTGTTCTAGACTTGAAATCCACACACACATACACATCTATATTTTTAAGGCTTAAGAAGCCACTGCTGAATATCAATTGGCTGTTTCTAGCATTATGTTAATATGCTGCATTGAACAGCTGCCAGCAGGTGCAATTTTCCGTTAATTAAAAATTTAATTTTATAGCATTTAACAACGGAGCACTCCCCTCTGTATAAATTCAAAAGCAGTCTCTGAACTTAATATAAAAAAGAGCATTTATATTGTTTAATTTTATTTAAGTAAATTCATCCTGTCTGCTCACTTCTGATGGTCATGTAATTAAGAGTGTGGTATTTATCATGCTGAGATGCTAATGTGATTTTGTGTGACTAATGCCAACACATGAGTGTTGATATCAACTCTATCTCTCTGTAAATTAAAGGCTGCAGGTGTGGTACAACATTTACATTTTGCAAAGTTTTGAGTTTAAACAAATATAAGAATGTTGATACCATCACTACGAAAAGAACTTACCTTGGTAATTACTATTGCCTGAGCTGGGTAGCAAACAGATGCTCCTAAAGCGGTCAGTCCCAATGGATAAGCAATTTTCTTAAATTTAGAGCCTGTATAACCCAAACAAAGTATTTAACTCCAAACAGATGCTTCTACAACATCAATGTTTTCCCCATCTCCCTTTCACAGCCAACATCCTATAAGAAACTGCCCTTGGGAATCAAAGAGTCAAGATGGCAGCTAAAATATCCTTGAAGAATTCAACTCAATTAATCCCCGGCCCCTGGCCCCCAGCTGTCACATTCAATTCATGTCCACTGTTTGCAGAGTCATGCTGTTGACTGTCTGAACACAGCCTTCTTTTCTTTTTTCCTGGCTCTACTCACTCACTGTTTTAAAAGCTAAGCATTTCTGCAATGCCTAAGAAACCCAACTAGTAAACCCGAACCCAGAGGTGGGGAATCTATGGCCTTGAGAGCCGCTGGTTCCTCACCTCTGCCCTAACCCTTTCCCAGGTCTAGAAATAAAACAGTGTGCTGTTTCATCACTGTAGAGACCGTGAGGTGACAGAGTAGACAGAGTGCCAGACTTGGAGTCAGGAACACTTGAGTTCGAATCTGGCCCAGAAACCAGCTGTGTGTGACCCTGGGCAAGCCCCTGAAGCTCGGTTCAGATGTTCCCTCATCTGTAAAATGAGGATCATAATAACACCTACCTCACAGGACCAAATGAGATAATAATTGTAATGTGCTTTGCAAACCTTAAGGTGCCATAAACATGCAGCAATTGCCATCATTATTATTAGAAATAACAGATGACTTGGAGAGATGCCATGGACATAGTAAATACAGTCTATGCAACTAGGTGACCAGCTAGACGATAGGTTCACAGAATCAGAGCTGGAAGGGCCTTCGGGGTCACTGAGTCCAATTGGCTTCCTCATTTTCTTGGTAACAAAACTGAAGAGGAGAGAGTTTGGGCAGCCTGCCAAGGTCACACGAGCAGCAAGCTTCGGAGACGGGACTCAAACCAAAGTTCTCCACAATTGCCAGAGCACCATGCTGCCCATGGTATAAGTTAAAGTTCAGGCATTTCACTCCTAGGCTTGAGGACCAGTCTTTATTGAATTCAACCCTCAGCTAAATGGAAAAATAACTTATCGACTTTGTCGTCAATGTCTGTGTCGATTAAACAAGACTAGGAATCTTTGCCAGCACAGATGCTATTAACATTGGGAAGACAAAAGAGAGACTCTTCAGACGGTCAATGAATTGAGAAGCTGATTTCTATGCCAGGGTTAAGTAGAGTAATAGTAAGGCTTCTGCAGTCATTTCTCTAGTAAGCAGGAATAAAGGTTTTGGCCTTCTCACAGGGAACCGGCCCTTGCTACTCTCTCTCCCACCATGAATCACTGCTTATTTCCAGTTTAGCGAGCTCTGCTCTTGGGTTCAAACAGATGGATTATGGGTTATATGCAGATGTAGTACAGGGTAGGGCAGAAGTGTACTGAACGCAGAAAACCTCAGAATGCTCTCTCCACAGAAGGTTGCCAACTACTCCCTTGGGACACATGATAAGTCAAAGTGTGGCTCCTGAATTTCCTGTCTCTTGGTCTTCTCTCCTGAGACAGCTCTAGCTGCATTAAATGACCACATGTATTTTCTCAGCAATTAAGCCAGTTTCTGTTTATAGGTTGGGGTTTGTCTTTTCTCTGTTGTTTCAGCCCAAAAGATTAAAATAGAACTTATACCTTCCTCTTCCTCCCCACCAGAGATCAAAGGTCATTCTGGTAAGGAGGGAAATCTTATTTGGGGTCAACAACCCTATTTCAATAGCTAGAGATACTCTGTTGAATGACCTAGGGAATATAGTAATATGTGCTACTTGGGAGGAGGGTCTTAATGAGAGACTAAAACTTTTCAACCAAATCCCTTAAGTTTAGTTCGAATAAAACTTTGTTGTTCTATATAGTAGATCATGGTTTTTAATTGTTTCTAAATGAAGAAATTTATTGTACCCATTCAAATTTAAGTTGTTCACAGGTATACATTAGCATGAAATTCCCAAAAAACTATCTTCTGGTTTCAGAAGATCCTATGATCTTTAATTTAAAAAAGATAACATTAATAAAAAACACATTTTGTAAAATTTATTCAGCTTTAAAGGTTATTTGAATTACTATCATCTTTGTAGAAACATGTATAACTAAAACAAAAATTCTTAGAAACAATTTTGTCTAACTATAATATAACCTCTGGAAATGAATTATATCTTCTGAATAAAAAAAATGACAGTAAAGAGATAATAAGGCAAAAGCTACCTTTTTTTGCTGAGATCAAGCCAACCAATCCTGAAGCTGTAATCACACCAATTTTTGGAAGAAAATCTTGAGGTGGATTCTTCAGATAAAGATATGCATCTCAAGAAATCATAAAAAGCAACAATTTAATGGAAAATAGTATTCAACTGAATACCACATCCTACTTGGCACGCTTAGAGCAAAGATATAATGTAGAAAGGTTAAAGCCAACTAACTACTAAGGCATGAGCAAGTACTTCTAAACTTAGTCCTCAAGAAGGTTAGCCAAAATACAAATCTGAGTGGGACTCTGAAGTTAGTATGAGAGATATTAATTAAATGAAAAACAGGACATCTTCCTTCATCTTCTGGTTTTCAGATACTGCTTGTGTTTTAAGATCTCACATAATAGGTCCCTGCTTTCAGATTGCACCTTCCTGGGGAGTGTGTCTTAAGTGGAGTCCTGACTGTGCATATGTTGCTGCTCTTTCTTGGATTTCAGCAGTTGCCACAAAATGTACAGGTAAAGACGGCCAGAAGGGCAGCCCAGGCCTTTACTGGGTAGCTTCAAATGAGCAGAGCAGAAAAACGCCAAAAACAGAAAAGCAGGGCCTTGATCCATTCATATCTCCAGTTCATCTAAATCTAAATCTAAACATGAGCAGAGACCAGAAGTTCTGATTCTTGAACGATGGATTTTCAAGGCCTCTATGACACTGATCAGTCCAGTCTGGCATGGCGTTCCCAGCCTGTCTTGCTTCAGTGTGGCCATTAGCCTTGGAATGAAACCAGTCGCCAGGGCTGGGGTAAGAGACAAAGCTGGAGAGAAGGGACAGAATGGGAAGTCCAGACCATGTAGAAATGGGCATAGGATCACATTTAGAACTAAAAGACACCTTACTCTAAAGCCCATTTTTACAGATGAGGAAACTGAGACCAGAAGAGGTTAAGTGACTTGCCCAAAGTCACACGTAATAAAAAGCAGGGCTAGTATGTAACCCCAGCTGTGCTGCTGCACATTCTCTTAATTTTCCAAAATAAACAACAACACTATCCAGTCAAAGTGGTGCATTATTGCTATTAGCAACTAATTCAAAGGAAACCACATATTCACAGGGGTCATGAGTTAAGGCTAGGCTGAAACTCTGAATTAATTTCTATATCCATATATACATGTGAGTTATCTATAATGAATTTAAACTTCAAAGTCATCTTCTCCTATGCTCAGAGGATGCAAACTCATTTGACTGTTAGCCGAAGCCAAGCATGACTAAATGGAAGGGGAATCTGTAGTGCCAAAAATCATGTAACACCTTCCCGCGGCAAATAAAAAGGACTTTTAGATGCTCCACTCTTTTGCCACAGCTTTCATCCATTGGCATTAATATTCAAAGGCTGATTTTATGTCTTATTACTTCCTGAAAGTTTTTAAAAAATGAAATAATCTACAATTACAGTTCTCAACGGGCAGTTTACAATCGCAACACATTTCTTCTCAGTTCTTTAAAACAGCATTTGTTATTTTAAGTAGTCACCAACTATGGATTGCTGCTCTTAATTTCTTCTTCAGCTTTGGATAAACAACACACAATCAGGAACCAAGCTTTGACACAGACGATCTATTTAATGACTTGTTGATTTCTTTCCTGACTATCAACAGGGCAAAGTGACCAAGTATGTTTTTTTTTTCTCAATTTAATCTTATGATTCATATAGTCACCAGAACATTTTGAGTTGCAGCTAGTTTATTTACCTTTCCCAAACTGTACTGTATCCATTATTCCGTTTCTCATCCAAACATAGACACCCTACCATAAAAAAGGAAAAAAGTAAATTAGCCACGTGAGTCTTTGAAAAATGATACAAAATAAGCTATCTCTTTTAAAATGGATAAAAAAATTCAAGTGAGTGAATAGAGATTTGGGAAGAAGGAACCTTTTAGGGAGAAGTGGGAATCAAGGAGGTAATGGACAAATGGAACTAGTGACCATTTCAAGAGGAAAACATTAATAAAGAGGACAGTGAACTTAGGCTTCTGTCTGCAGCTTTCACCATGAACCTTCAAGCAAGCTTACCTGAAGCCTGTTTCCCCTTCTGTAAAAATGATAATAACCACAACTTTCCTTCTTGAAACATCTATGAATACTGGGGAGCAGCTCACAAGCGAATGCACAAATACAAACATTTAGCTAATTGAAAACAATAAAAAAAGATGAAATTTGAAGAAGGGAGCTTTCTTCATCTTAGATGAACCATTCGATTCACATAGCTAGAGCATCAAAGAGGGAAGGGCAGTGATGTCTTCAGTACATACATGATTTCCTTTGCTGGAGTCCTCCTCGGGTGGCACACTGTCACGGGGAGATGCTGCTGGTGTCTTGAAGGCTACACCAGCAGAACACAAGTGGCAGGTCCTACCAAACTAGAAAGGCTTTCAGCCCAATCCAGGTCATGAATTGTTTGCTATTTAAGGACCAGCCTAACTACACGTAACTCCATCACTAAAGGTTGGTCACCAAGGAGGATGAACTCATCAGTCACGTCAACTCATGAAACCATCTGGGAAGGCAGATACACATGCATGCCTGTGTGGAGGGGTGATTTGCATTGGCAGATTAACTGAATCGAGAACCTTTTCTGAAATATTGAAGAGCTAGATGGAAATGAGAGATCTTCCAGTTAAACCTCTTCATTTTAAAGATAAGGGAACTGAAGTATAGACAAATGACTTGCCCAAGGTCACACTGCTAGTCAGAAGTAGAGCTAGGACTCAAACCCAGAATTTCTGACTCGACCACATCATCTTAGAGCTCTTCAGCAAAATGTCTTCAGTAACCTTTTATTATACAATCCTAGGCCTTGTTTAGTGGAATGCCAGGAAGAAGACAGTCAACATTACTTGGTGGGAGGTCTCATTTAAAGTAAAACATATGTGTCAACGTTAACAAGATAATAACCAATCAATCAATCAAAGGTGTTAGGTATCTATTATGCAATGAGAATAGTGCTGGGCAATAGGGGTATAAAGACAGAAATGAAACAGACTTTGCCCTCAAGGAGCTTACATCCTAATGGGGGAGACAATACGCACATATACATGCCTGGATACGTGTGTGTGTGTGTGTGTGTGTGTGTGTGTGTGTGTGTGTGTGTACACACAAACATACTGAATATATTCAAAATGAATACAAGGTACCATGGGGATGCAGCCAGCTACTTCCAGCTGGGGGAATCAAGATAGGCTTCTTGTAGAAAGAAGCCTTTGAGCTGAGTTTTGGTGAAGAAAGTGTCCATCCTATTTCTTTCTGCTTCCCCTTCTGAATGCTTTTCTTTTGTATATCTTTGAGGAATTTATTGCTGTTATTTTGAGAGGCAGCACAGCAGAGTGGATAGAGAGCTAGCTTCAGAATTTGGGTACAAATCCCACCTCTGATCCTTCCTAGCTATGTGAATCTGGGCAATTCCCAAAGACTCAGCTGCTACATTTAAAGGTTTGGGATCCACATGGTAGAAGAAACTGCCACATTGTACATACCACAAACTCCATGGCCAGGATACAGAAGATTGCTCTGATTCTCATTTCTTTGATTGGTAACATTTCGTATCTTTTCATATCTCTTCCTTTTCTTCATGTTTAGCTTTATTTTATTTTATTTTTTTTGGCAGGGGTGGGGGGGTGGGGGTAGAAGAGGTTGGGGGAGGTGAAGGCCAGGCCAATTATTTGGTGAGTGAAGGGTTCTATTGGTGAAGAACTTTCTCTACTGAGAAAGGTCAGCCTTCTTAGCAATCTGGTCCTTGGGGAGTTTCCTGGGGCAGCAAGAGTTTCAGGGACATGCAGAGCTTGAAATGCCATCTCCCTGAGTCCAACTGAGGCCAGCTCTCTCTATTCACTCTGTAACACTGAATTATATTCCCCAACTGTTAGACTCTAGGTTGTTTACAGTGTTTTGCTATTACAAATGATGCTCCTAATTACATGCCAACAAAACATTTTTTTCTCTTTTGATAACAGCCTTGGGGTATATTCTCAATAGAGAAAGCCTGTACCAAGACAGATACAAAAAGCTTCCTTGCCCTTGCTGTACAGTCCCCACTGGCTTTCCAAAAGGACAGCGCCAGCGCACGGCTCTGCCCGGAGGGCTTCCAGCGTCTCCATTGCTCCACAGCTCCACCAATACTGACCTTTAACCATAAGGTGGGAGTGAGACATGAGTTGTTTTAAGCTGCTTTCAATTATTAGAATCTTGCCAGTTATTCAGTTGCTAACTGAAACTTTATCCTTTGATCTAAGCAACTTTCTAAGGCTCTAAGTTGCAGTGAAGGTACAGAGAACTTCCTCACCAGGGAGTTGTTTATGTAGTGAAATCATGGCTCCAGACTTTATCCCTAATCCTATCTTTTGATCTGTGGAGGAATGGATCTTAATCTTAGAAATGTGTAACAATTCTTTGTATAAACACTATACTGTCCGTACAGATGCCTAACATCTCTGACTCAGGAAGCAGTTTGGCATTTCTCTGTCTCTGACAAGGGACAGTGGGAACTCATAGCTAGGATTTTTTCATGACATGCCAGCTGACAGGACCAACCAACCATCCAAAGCCCTCTTGGACTGTGGAGAACTAAGAAGAATGGACAGTCGAATAATTTAATGAGGCAGCACGACTCACAGGTTCTAGAGGTGGGAGAGACAAGTGAAACAACAGCCAACTCTGCCAGCCACCAAGGCAAAGGACAAATGTCTCCAAGAAGTCACTAATACCCCAGTGAGTCCAGACTTCTTCTACCGTCCTCAGCCTTTTCCCAAAAACTATCTTAAATTCCTCCCCCTCCTTTCTAGTATGCCACCAAACAACCATTCTCCCCCAATAATATTTCAGGCAGGATGGGGGAGAGATGACCCCCGCTGGGTACCAAGTACCCCTTTCTCTCTCTTTCCCCTAAGGGTAGTGGACATAAAAAGAGCAGGCACCCACCCAGAAGCCTGCTGGCCTACTGGGATACAGCTTACCTGACATCTGAACAACATTGTTCCTCATTAGCTAATACACAAAGTTAGACACCCAAGGTCACACTGTATACTAGAGCCAAAACACAATCCAACTCTTCTGACTCCCCAAGTCCCTTAACCAGATGTTATGAAGGAAGGACAACAACCAACGAACCAGATGTTATGAAGGCAACAGCCAAAGAAGCTTCCAAAGAGAAGGAAACTTGAAGCATTACGTTAGACAAAAGCAAAGGAAGATACGAGCCCTGCCAACACTTTACAGTACATACACTGTGATGGCAGGTAATGATAATGAAATGAAAATGTACAAGCGGCATGATATTAGGGTTCAAAAAGAAACTAAATGCTACTAAACTATTTGTCTTGACTTATAATTCATACAAATAAATCTAAAGTGAAATGCTTCTTGATAAATTGAACAGAAATTGTGACTTATTCCTTTTGACCACAAGGGGGCACTATTACCCAACTTCTGAAACACTAGCAGCACACTAGGAGTAGGAGTTAAAAGCTGACATCTATGACAGTGACAGAATTCAAATGAGAAGTCATTTTTAAAGACTAGGTATTTTTAAAAAAATTTTAAGAACAAAGTTGTTTACATTCAAAATGAAATGTCTTCAAAAGTGCCTTTCAGCCCATTCCTTCTAACATTAACGGGAATTAAATGTCCTTTTGGTCTTAAATTGGGTGACAGCAATGGTAGCAATTTAATGATGTCTCAGGAGGAATTTGCTTCACTAAAGACAAATTTGAGAACACTAAGGAAAATTTGGTCCCCGGAGCCTAAGCCTGAATCATCTGACTGCTGGCATTAGCCTCAGGTGTGTGACTCAGACCTTAATTAGTCAAGACATTTTCCCTGAGATCAAACTATTTAGAATGTATTGAGCCTCCTTAAAAAAGACAAACTGTACTGTCAGAAACAAATCGTGACAAGCTCAGGATTAAAAAAAAATAACAATGTCTTCACTGAAGACCAGTAAGACCATTTAGATGAGAGATTTTTAACCTTTTTTATGTTTCCTGGACCCCTTTTCAGAATCATGTTTTTATGTAAAATAAAATATATAGGATTACAAAGGAAATCAATTACATTGGAACAGTTACAAAAATACTAAAAACAAGTTCATGGACCCCAGTTTAAGAACCCCTGATTCAGAACGACAATATTTCAACAAACTGGAATTTTCCAGGACTATATTGTATATCTGTGAACCACAGGAAATGTTTTTAAAAATCTAAAAACCACAGAATGGATACAGGTTAGGTTGGGAGCAAGTCGGGATGGCACCTGGGCAAGGATGATGGTGACACTGATTCTGATGCCACTATATAGGCACCAAGGTGACACAATGACAACAGTATCATCCCGAGAGGACTTACCCCAATCAGGAACAATTCAGCAACAACAACCTGGATAAAATGATTTTGTGTGTGAAAATTCACACTAAGCAATACCTGAAATCACCACTCGAGCTGTGGTATGGATAAGAACACAAACCAGGCACTTTACAGCTCTTGGGTTAGGAGAGGGAGCACTAATAGAATGTTCTTACTTTGCACCAGCCAACATAATGACAGGCTGTAGTTCGGACGGAAGCAATGCCCGTTTGTAAGCGGCCAGGCTGCTCTTCAATGTACTTAGAATGGAGACATGGTACATTATAAATGGGGAGCTGGAAAGGCAAAAAGAAACAAAAACACAAGTTTATATCCAAGTCTCTCTCTTACACACACACACACACACACACACACACACACAGAATCAGTCATTCTTTCTCTCTCTCTCTCTCTCTCTCACACACACACACACACACACACACACACGCATACACACAGAATCAGTCTATCTCACACACAGAGCCAGTCTCTCTCTCTCTCTCTCTCTCTCTCTCTCACACGCACACACAGAGTCATTCTTTCTCTCTCACACACACAGCCAGTCTCTGTCACTCTTACACACACATACACACACAATCAGTCATTCTTTCTCTCACACACACAGCCAGTCTCTCTCTTACACACACACACACACACACACACAGAATCAGTCTCTTTCTATCTCACACACACAGAGCTAGTCTCTCTCTCCCTCTTTCACACACACACACACACACACACAGAGTCTATCTCACACGCATACACACATACACATAGGCAGTCTCTCTCTCTCTTACACACACACACACACACACAGAATCAGTCTCTCTTTCTATCTCACACGCACACAGCCAGTCTCTGTCTCTTACACACACACATACACAGTCTCTCTCACACATACATACACATACAGTCTCTCTCAAACAGCTAGTCTCTTTCTCTCTTACATACACACACACACACTCACAGTCAGTCTCTGT